GGATTTTTTTTTTGGAAAAGACAATAATGCTGGGAAAGGTGGAGGGAAGGAGGAAGGCCACATGCCAGATGGAGGGACTCTATTATGAAGGAGGTCACTTTGGGGATTAAAGGCTTGCAGGAATGAAGCAGAGCAGGGGAGGACAGAGGGTCTTCTTGGAAGTGTCTCATCCAGAGGGTCATCATGCGTCAAGATCAAGTCGAGGGCAGGTAACAACAACAAAAATGTTGTCTATCTTCACAAACTGATTTTTAAAAAAATCCATCAGTGATACCTTTCTTGGCCAACCCAAATGCACAATATACTTCTTGCAAGCTTTCGAAGCTCCACGGGCTTCTTCTTCATCAGGTAAGATGTTACAAACCAAACAGGAGAAAAAGCAATTGGAGATGTTAGTCAAAAGCCTTCGTGTTGTTTAAGTCTTTAGTTAAGATGGTAGTATATGGTGGGGAGGATATCTTTTGTAGCAGGATCCCACAAAAATATATATATATATATATATATTCTTAAATTTGGACTGAATTTGCATGTTTTACCTCTACCAAAATATTCCTGATGCAAACACATGGAGACTTCTTGAGGAATCCATCGTTCTCTGCCACAAAGAGGCCTGTGGCTTCGCTGGAATGGAGACATATTGGATTACAAAAGAGGAGTCCCTCTCTTGAGATACAAATGGATTTTAAATTTCCTGGACTCTGTTAGTCTCCCTATAGCCTGCAAAAGATATCCTCCTTCTCCACTATCGACCATCTTAACTAAAGACAAAAACAACACGAAGGCTTCTGACTAACATCTCCAATTGCTTTTTCTCCTGTTTGGTTTGTAACATCTTGCCTGATGATGAAGAAGAAGCCCATGGAGCTCCAAAAGCTTGCAACAAGGATATTGTGCTTTTCAGTTGGCCAATAAAGGTATAACATAGATTTTTATTACTTCCAGTGCTCTAGTTTCCTCACACAGCCACAAAAAAAGCCCTTATTTTAGAGAAAAGACCAAAACAATTATTTCTGTGGGCATAAGTAAAGCAATAGAGAGGTCTTCTAGACAAGAAGGTAGCGTGGCCGAGCGGTCTAAGGCGCTGGATTAAGGTTCCAGTCTCTTCGGGGGCGTGGGTTCGAATCCCACCGCTGCCAGTAAGTTTTCCTCACAAAGGGCTCCATTTTTAGAGGCGAAGCCCCTCTGCGCCTGCGCAACGCCACAGCGCCACCTGCCGTCCGGGCTACGTCATGTCAATGCGCTGCACAACAGCAGTTCGCGCTGAGCATTGTGGGTAAGAGGCGGAGCTAAGGTTCACCACGTGGCCGCCAGAGCCAGGCCAAGATGGCGGCCGGCTGAGAAGAGTCGACGCTGGAGGCAGCCTGAGGAGGACGAAAGGGAAAGGTAGGGAAAGGGGTTTCTTTTGTCCCTGTGTCCTTTTGGGAGGAATGTCAGGCTGTTTCCGAACTGTAGGAATAATCCAGTTCCATACCGCTTTGACTGTCCCTGGCTCAAGGCTGTGGAATTCTGGGAATGGTCGTTTGTTGTGGGTTCTCTCTTTCTCTCAGACTTCCAGATTATTGTCCTCTCTGACAGAGAAGGCTAAATGCCTCACAGAACCTCAGTTCCCAGAATTCCCTAGCATTGAGCCAAGGCAGTTAAGGCGGTCTCAAACTGAGGTTATTTCTGCAGTGTGTTTTGGACCCCGGGTTTGAATCCCAGCTCGGCCATGGGCAACCCATGGGGGGGGTAATTGACAAAGTCACACTTTCTCAGCCTCTTGAGAGGAACCCTAGGGTCTAAAACACTGGAGTTTGAGACCGCTTTGACTGCCCTGGCTCAGCGCTATGGAATCCTGGGAATTGTGGCTTCTTGAGGCACCAGGGCTCTCAGACAGAGGAGGCTAAGTGTCTCACAAAACTCCAGTTCCCGGGATTCCCTAGCATTGAGCCAGGGCAGTTAAAGTGGTCTCAAACTGGGATTATTTGTGCAGTGTGTTTTGGACCAAAAAGTTAGGAAGCTGGGCATTTTGGAAGAGCAGTTCCTGCAACCCTCTTGCCCCAGATTTTGCCTCCTATCTTTCTCCTGCTTCTGCAAAGCCTCTTCTCTCTTCTCTGCATAGTTACATCAGCAACAGCATCATCCTTCACAGCACTGAGCCTTTTAAAAAGACAAAGACCTGTGCCTCAAACAAAATGGTTTTTTCTAACCATATATTCAGAATTACCAAAACCCACTCCCCAAGGAAACTTTCCTCTGGCCTAAGCGGAGAGGGGAGACTCTGTTATTACACCAGAGTAGTTTGGGCTACGTCAAAAATATACGTCTTCCTCATCTCTCCTGGTATTGCTGCGTTGTTACATCAGTGTGTTTTATTTGGGAAGCTTAGACACTGCCAGGAAGCCAAGGTAAAACCTAAGGCCTCTTCTACCAAGGGTAGGCAGCCTTTCCCCTTTAAAGACCGAGGGACTTCAGCTCCCAGAATCCCAGGAGCTATTGGCCAACATGGAATTATTGGCCAACATGGTTGAGGCTTCTGGGAGCTGAAGTCCCTCGGTCCTTAAAGGGGAAAGGTGGCCTACCCCTGGCCTAAGGCCTCTTCTAGCTTCCTCCTGTAGAGGAAACGTTGCTGGTAAAACTGAAGATTTTTTTTTAGTGGACCCTCCACATTCTCTGGGGTTAGGGGAGTAGGGCCCCTAACGTGAAAGTGGGAGAACCGCAAATGAAAAAAACACAATTTATTTTACATGAGAGTACACCTCTAGGAATCTCTAGGTCCTCCAGTGCAACTCTGTGGTCAACAGCAGCCAGACCTTGGCCATCGAATTGTGCTGGAGGACCTACAGAGGTCTAGAGGAGTATTCTCTAGGAATCTCTAGGTCCTCCAGTGCAACTTTGTGGTCAACATCTGCCAGACCTTGACCATCAAATTGTGCTGGAGGACCTACAAAGGTCTAGAGGCGTGTTCTCTAGGAATCTCTAGGTCCTCCAGCGCAAAGCCGCAAATGTGGATGACTAACTGTACTTCTCACTGTAAAGATGTTTTAAATAGGGGATATTACAGTCTTACTGAGATCTTCTGATCATGGGATGTGTGTGAAATACAGTTGTCCCTCCACATTTGTGGCTTTGATTATTAGTGGTTTTGATTTATTGGACCTCTCTGGGAATCTCTAAGGGCCTTTGCAGACTGCCAGAAATAGTGTGAATTGAGTCCACTTTAACTGCCCTGACTCAGTGCTAGGGAATCATGGGAGTTGTATTTTTTTTTCTGAGACATTGAGCCTTCTCTGTCAGAGAGCTCTGGTGCCACAATAAACTACAGTTCCCATGATTCCCTAGCACTGAGACAGGGCAGTTAAAGTGGACTCAATTCACACTATTTCTGGCAGTCTGCAAAGGCCCTAAGTCCTCCAGTGCAACTCTGCCAAAAGTTGACCAAAGAGTTGTGCTAAAGTTCCTAGAGAAAACACTTCTCTAGGCATTTCTGGGGTTTTCCAGCATGATTCTGTGATCAGCTTTTGGCAGATGTTGACCATAGAGCTGCACTGGAGGACCTGGAGATTCCTAGAGAGGTGTTCTCTCAGGTAAAACGAATTGTGTTTTTTTTTTATTTGTGTTTTTTCCACATTCAGGGGGGTCCTTCACCCCTAACTTCAGTGAATGTGGAGGGACCACTGTACTTTGACAAAATTACACTTAAGACTTTAGAGTGTGTGTGTGTGTATGGAAGCTGTAATAAATGGGTTTTATATCAGTTGCATCTTTGGGAGAAAGAGTGGTGTTCAGTTTGTCTTTGGGGTGTTAATTGCTACATGACTTTTGACCAGAGAGTGGTTGTGTGGCAAACACCCAGCCTGGCTCAGCAGTTACAGGATTATTTCCTCTGATCTACCATGAGATTTTCAATGACTCACTGCCCAGGTAGGCTACTCTAGCTTTTGCTTGGCGTATTTTAATTGATTGCACCACCTTTAATACCGTTTTGTAATCCAAATAGATTACTGGATTTGCTAAATTTTGGTTGGTTTTTTGCATTTAAACAAACATCTTGATCTTCAAACCTTACCAGGTGACTTCTTTACCACATGGAGATTAAATATTATTGCCATCAGCCGATCACTTCAAACAGCGTGGAAGTCACAGAAGCCAGGCCAGCACATCAAACCAGACAGATTAGAGCAGAAAACTTGAAAATGAAATTTCTTATTCTCAGTCTGTTTCCAGATAACTGGAGCATCAGCATTTCCCCTAAATGTAAGCCTCTAGTCCTTATTATGTAAATAACATTCGATCCCATTAAGGCATTGTGTGAAGCAGGCTTCGGGTTTATAGTCATAGAGTTGGAAGAAACCCCAAGGGCCATCCAGTCCAACCCCCCCTGCCATGCAGGAATACACAGTCAAGGCACTAATGACAAATGGCCATCCAACTTCTGTTTAAAAACCTCCAAAGAAGGAGACTCCACCATACTCAGAAGAACTTTTCTCATCTTCATGGCACAGGTTTGCCCATCTCACAGTTCTGTCCTGATTGGTAGTGCTCATTTTCCCATCATCTGATCTTTTCCATCTTCTGTTTCATGATCCTATTAAATGGAGCTACCAAGGATAACCTGACGCCTTCAGGCTGCAAAGTGTGTGCTCTGTAACTGAACCACAGACCTATCATTGTCCTTCCCTAACAACTTTTAGTCACATTTTCTTATTATTCTCTACTTTCCCCTTATTTTTTTAATTTATTTGCTAAGGTCACCATGTTACTCTGTGCTGTTTTAAAATTTGTGATGACAGATCATAATTCTAAAAAAAGAAAATATGTGCTGTATACCAAATAACAATGGCTGGCATTCTACTTGGAACTTTGTTGCTGTGTGCCTTCAAATGTTTCTGACTTATGGCAACCGTCAGACAAACTTTCACAGGGTTTTCTTGACAAGACTTATTCAGAGGAGGTTTGTTTTTGCCTTCCTTTGAGGCTGAGCGTGTGTAACTTGCCCAAGATCACCCAGTGAGTTTCCATGGCTGAGCAGGGATTTGAACACTGGTTGCCAGAATTATAGTCCAGCACTCAAACCACTACACCATGCTGGCTTCTATGGCTTTGTAAATGGCCTTACATGTGCACAAAATTGAATTGAGTAGTTTTGTAATGTCCATATTCACTTAAGAGCTGCTGTGCCATTACAAAATATGAGCATCCATTGCACAATGGTGGAGTGATTGGTGAGCTCCAGCCCAGTCCTCAGTGGGCAGTGATGTGGATTGAGGCACTCTCCAGTTCACACTCAGGTACTGGCCATGAAGTGCCAGAACACAACAGGAGCATCCAATCTGAAGTGCCTTATGCCATACGAGTAGTCTTGTCAGTGCCTGGATGTGCATCTTCACAATTCACTTGCAGGGTTTCATTGTATTTCTGCATTGTACTTATGAAATGTAGATTGTGATGTAGGATCTCAACCTATGTACACATGTAAAGAGACATAAATTCACTTGTCTAGTTGTCAGAGGCAAGTACTTTTTTCTGCTTTTTTTTTTTTTTTCTCTGATAAGATCAGGCAGACTTTCTTCTTTGTCTAGAGAAGCATGGTCCTTGATGTTGTACTCACTACAGGAAGCTTCAGAGAATGGCAGAGTCTCATCCTGACTTTGCCTTGAAGAAGTGAGTCCTTTTTTGGCTTGTCAAGATTTGGCACAAGGCTGTGGAGGAGATGCCATAAGAGGACTGACTGTTTGGGTTCTCCCTTTTGCAATGAGGGTAACTGCAGGCAGTTGCACTTCTTTGATTTCCTCTACCAGCAAACCAAAGAGAAAGAAACCATGGTTTGTTCTTGGTTTGTTTCTCTGGTTTGCTGAGAGAATAATCAAGTATGAGCAAATAAGCAGAACATACCACCATGCTGGTTGTACATGATGAGCCAGATTTTAACCAACCAGAGCTCCTTCAGTATCTGTAAACTTCCATTTTTGATCTGGAGAAAGAGAGGGGAAGGTCCTGGTAAGAATTTCATGCCTGAAACATATTAGTCAGTAGAACTCTATTTAAGAACCTTTTCACATTACACAGGTATAGCTCAATGATTCTACTTTAACTACTGTGACGGCATCATATGGTATCCTGGTGAGACACTAGAACTTTGGTTGAAAATACCCCTTATGGCATAGCGCTGTTTCAGCTGCAAATCTAGGAAAAACTACAAAAGAAAAAATGGGAAGAGAACCCTCCTCCAACCCTGTTTGGGGTAAAAATTTGGAAAAGAAGGTTTTTCTCTTCTATTTTTCTGACCCTTAACATCTCTACTCTTCTCTGCTCATCATCAGAGTGATGATATAGGAAAGAAAGGCTGTTTGTAACCATGAGGTTACTAGTACTTCTTTAATTAGACATAACATTATATTCACCATTTCCTGGCAGATTCTCAATAATAGTGCTTTGCTGTCAGAGGGGTTGAAGTAGAGACCTCCTGCATACAAAGCCTGCATG